TTGCAATTATTCCTAAATAGAGTCAGAAATGACTCCCATACCAGAGTACTGTCAAAATCTTGAATTTTTTTTTTTTTAAAAAAAAGAGATTCCTCAAATGGAGCCTATGGAAGTCAATGTCAATGTGAGCCGAACTGTGTGCCCAAGGGAGTTTTCAAATCTCAACCTAGCACCACATTGGGACAGAGATACCTCGCCTACAACGTCAGACTGCCAGATTCATATTGGTGAATATGCTGCAATGGCAAAATTGACATTATATATCCACAGAAGAAGTTTAACTAAATTCAAGCAGGAATGGTTCCCGTATATGCACTATATCACCGAGCTAGGTAGAATTAGACATCTGGAATATGGCTTTTAAGACTCAAATCGAAACTCACAATTACATACTAATATTTAATCCAAAGTTCCTATATCTTAACGGTGGCTCGCTGTGGTTCAGGAAGGAAGCATCACTACGAAGTAATTTACTTTTTCTCTTTTTCACTGTGGTTTTTTTTTTTTTATTCAAATGTAGCAGTCTTTTTTGTGTATCAGCTGGCTTTTTTTCTTTCTTTGCATTTCAGTGTCGGCCTTTTTCTCCTTTTTTTGTATTTCAATATCTTAACAATAAACATACAGATTTTAAAAATGGGATTATTCAAATCCACCCCGTGCAAGGGATTTACAGATGTTTTGGGGGAAGTGGAAATAGGAGGATGTCTATAATTTGTTTAGAATGGGGACAACTTTGGCTTTGATCCTGTCTTGAGGTCCACAGTCCCCAAAGTGGTAGTTGGAAAAAGCCGGGCCAAAGGTTAAGTACAGTTTGATTTCATTGGCGCCCAACTAAAAATGTAATGAATATGTGCTGCTCTCCAGGTGTCTATTTAATTTTTTTTCCCCCATCAGATTAAAACTTGCAGTTTGGTACTGAAGACTTTCTGGAACTCTGTATTTCTGAGGGCTCCCACCAGACTTGCAATTTCAGACAAAGCTGATTTGGACCACAGTTAACAACATTCTCAGCAAGACTAGCCGAAGATGCTTTTTCAAGAAGCAATGTGACGACTCCTGCCCCTAAACATGCTGTCTGCTGCCACTGAGTTTGGCAGAAGCTTCACTGGCAGCACTGATGCTCGGCGCATAACCGTAACCACAGCTGTCAGGCAAATTTTTTCGATTCCCCCCGCCCCCTTCCCCTAAATGCGATGTGCGTGCAAGGCGAACATGGGTGAGCAGAGATCAGCATTTGGAAAAGCGATGACCAAACAAGCTTTTAAAGTCCTTTCTCATCCTTCTGAGCTGTTGGAGACATCAGGCTCAAACTTTCAAAGCAGCTGACATATGAGACCAAAACCCAAAATCGAAATCCAGACGGGAGTAGAGGAAGTTAGTTGACCCGGCTTCATATCTCCCCATTGGAGGTTTTGCACATTTGTGACAGTGCAGAACAGGCCACTTCTCTGCTTCGTTACAAAGGAACTGCTCTTTTGGCTTTTTGATCTTTATTCAGGTTTATCCTCCACCCCCAGGAAGCCAAGCAAATCTATAACTCAAAAACTTTGAGGATTTCCACAAGGATTTCAGCAAAACCAGGGGCAAAGTTCCCACTGGCCTTAACAGAATTTGTTTAAAAATGTTCATCCCGTTTCTAGCTGTCTTTTGTTTCTGTCCAAATTTGGAGGGAGGCTACCAGTGTCCCTTGTTGACAAGAAGAGGGATTGTATGTCTAATAAAGTGATCTCCTTCAAGTTGACCTTGGCTCCAAGTCAGCAGCGTCTGTGGGTGGGTCACGTTCTGCCAGATGGTGGGCATAGCATCCCGATGGATTTTATGTGCAGGTGGGTTTCAGTTGCAATGCTGGGCCCACCATTTGGCAGAGTTTGACCTATCCCTGCAGATATCTATGCTCCTAGTGATCATCAGACATACCCCTGCAGTTTTCCTGACAGCAATAGGGAAGTGATTTGGCCTTCCTTTTTCTGGGAAGAAGTCAAGTTGCAAACCTCTTCCATCATTTGGGCTAAAAGAGGCATTGTATAAAACCAGAATGCACCCCAAAAAGTTGACCAAAAGCTGTATGGTCCGGTCTGTTTATCTCATCCTCTCCAAATAGGTAGGAGTGTTTTGCTCCACTAACTCTGATGGTAAAGCACTGATGTGAGTTAAAGACTCTTCTGAGATTTGGCTCGGTAATAGTAGTCAAGCAATGGGCTGGAACAGGTCCAGCTGCAAGTCCCGCAGCTATGAAGTGTGCAAAAACACACTCAGATTAATGTTTCTGGACAAGTGTCATGCATCTGTTGGCTAAGACGTGCTTTGGCCCTGGCCTTAAGGAATCAAAATTGGGAAGTAAACCCACAGTCAGTTTCAAACCCCCCTCTCCCAAACTCTGCAGATTGTCTGAGAAGATGGTTTCAGGTAGTAATTATAATAATGACAACGATGATGAATAGTTAATTATAATTAACTGAACCGAGTCAAAGCAGAAAGGCAGGCAATTCGATACAGGCTGGAAGAGTATAGTTACAGTGACCCTATTTTCTTGGAAAAAATAAAGGACAAATCTGGGAAAGGGGCAAATCTGAAAGAAGTTCATAAGGATAAAAAAATATAATTCTTTATGTTTATAACTTTGCTTTACAAAGGAAAATTTAAGGGCAAAACCAAGAAAAAT